TTGAGCTACTTTTGTTTTCTTTGCCAGTTTACATTTATAATACATTACTAGCGAGGTCATTTTCTTTTTCCTTTTTTTTTTTTTTTTTTTTTTTTTTTTTTTTTTTTTTTTTTTTTTTTTTTTTTTTTTTTTTTTTTTTTTTTCTGGTGTTAAGTACAGCTGAGAAATCAACAGGTTTCTATTAAACTACATTCCCAGTTTTTTTTTTTAACTCCCTCATCGGAGGAAATCTAGTCAGACTGGGTTTTGCTTGCCTGTCTGCTTGCTTTTAAGTTTCTGAGTAAAGAATCAACATATATTTATAATGGTGCTACAGCAAGTCCTTTCTGACCTGGGGAAGGTGGATCAGTGTCCTGGTTTAGGGCAAATCTGGGAGAAAACATCTAAAGGTGTTACTCTAGAAAGAAAATTCAAACAGCCCCTCCCCCAACTGGTTCGGGAAAAGATTTCTTTGGAGGAAAGTGGAAAAAAACTGCTTATTTAACAGGAGAAACATTCACCAGCACAAAAAAAAAAAAAAAAAAAAAAGTGAACAATTTGGCTAACAGCATTTCAGTTTTTTTAACTTAAAAGCAGTTCAATTTATTATACCTCAATAAATAGATTCACATTTTATATTGTATATAATTTCACTTTGGTTTCTCCTGTTCTCAGCCTTACATTTTTCAAGGTTTCCATCATTTTTGCATTCTGTTCCCATGTGTACACTGACTACTTTAGAGACTAAGGACTGCCTGGCTCTGTTGCTATGCAACCACATAGCCTACTTAGGGCTTCCTGAAATAATTGTCTCAAATGTGCTTTTTTTAGACTTGTTTCCAGCAGGAATACTTTACAGATTCTTTATAATGGACCACTGATATTACCACAATGTTAGATAGTGGTCACCTGGGAAGTATTGGTAGCTACTTAAGATTTAAAAAAAAAGAATGTTACTTCTTGCAAAATTCTGGACATACCTGCTGCATTTTCTCATGGAGGTAAATATCACAAATATTTCTATATTTTTTTCCATATGTTATTCCTGTGTATGAGAGCCACACATTTATCAGAGGAAAAAATTAATTGTTCTTTGTTTCACTATTTCATTCAAGGGAAAAGTCCTTTATTTACAATATGCCACCCACCACTCAGAAAAATTAACCCTCTTTATATAAAGTCTATTAAAAATTTAATAATATCAACAGAATGAACACATATGCAAATATTCTTTATTGTAATTCTTTATCAAATAAGTTGATGTTAGAATTCTTTTATGAAAAGGTTCCAAATTTTTAAATCACACTATGGATGCCACAAACTGGACCTGTATTTGCTTTTTGAGGTATCTTCAAGCAGCCCCTGAGAAACTGTCCCATGAAACCTTCAATTTTTCTAGCCTAAAACAGAATTTTTCTTTTTACAACATTCTAGTGCTCCTGCTTCAGGAGTGGAAAAATATGTTCTGTTTTTTTACAGCTGGTGTAATTGGGAATCTTAAGTTAATTTATCTCTGTAAAAATACATAGAACAAAAAAAATACAAGTCTCTTAAAAAAAAAATGATTAATTCCAGAGAGCCAAACATCTTAGAATACACCAGGCTGAGGGATCAAAGCACAGAGGTCTAACAGCACAGAATATTTTAATGAAAGGAAATATTTTACCTCTTATTCTTTTTTCTCTCTTGTTCACCTTAGCATGTTCAGCAGCAGTTGCATCTACAGAGAGCAGCGTGTCAGTCCAGAATTGTGATAAAGAGAAAGATGTTTGTCAGGGTCAGAGAAAATAAGAGCAAGGTTTAAATTAAGGTCCCTGCAGAGGCAAGTCCACCTGCAGTCTTTTAAAGGAAGCGGGGGAAGAGAGCAGCAATTTCAAAGTGTTTGCAAGATCCTAAGTCTTAAAGATGACTTTTTCTTAAACAGAGTGGACGGTGCTAGGCTTCTCAAAACCAAATGCAGGAGGTGGCGTAAAGGGGTAATTTTCCATATTCATATGCATAACCACATACATGCATAATAGCCAAGCTATCCAAGAATATGAGTCAGCAAGGTTTAGTGAGTGGGACTCTCCCAGACTTCAAGTCTCTATTCTTTAAATCCACGTAAGTAGTACAGCTCAGATTCAAATCTGTAACAATACTGTTTTAAAGCAAAGATATCAAGACCTGAAGAGCAGCAACACTTGGAAGGATCTCCTTTGTGGCAAATAACCAATTTGAAACTTAAAAAATGACCCAGAATCAGGTGGAAGGGAAGACAACATTAATAAACTACTCTGTAATGGTGAATTATGTGCAGTTTGTATTTTATACTTTGTATTTTATAGTATTTATGGGCATTTCAATGACAGGCCAAGTAATTTCTAACCTAGCCAAAAGAAATCCCTTATATTTACCACAAAATGCTTGAAGATAGGAACCTTAACAACCTTTTTGCATGTCCATGTTTAAAAAAGAATTTAATTAAACAAAGAGGAAAAAAAGTGAAACAAACTACAAGTCTCTTGTTAAATAATCCTTTGTCACCTAGGATCATTTTGTTCACTTTGTATTGAAACCTATGCGCTATAGAGTACTTTTCTGGTAAGTTTCCATGTGCTAGAACTAGAAAGTAACTAAAAAAAAAAATGTCTTGCATAGATTAATATTTAATTAGCAATTGAGCTGCATTACACAATCTGTCCATGATACTCAAAGATGCATTTCTTGATGCAAACCCAGGTACCCTGACAAACACAATACCCAGCCACAGTCAAGGAACATACAAGTTCTGCAAAACACAGCTACTTAAAATCACTGTTATAGCTTTGAACCTGATAGTCAAATATTTCTCTTTGCCCCAGTTTCAAGTGAAATTAAAGCTCAAATACTTATATTTGTTTAACGTCCCAATTCTTCATCTACACAAAGAAAATGCCAATTAGGGCAATTTACAAGCCATTGATGGGAGCATATAAACAAGTAGAATTTTCTGGACTCACAAAGCTCACTGATTTCAGCCAACCCTAACAAATTGCTCAATAACTTTAAAAGATGGCCTATTAAAAACCACATACAGTAGACATTTTATATTCATGCCAAGAAAAGTTATCCAACAAACACTTATTTCCTGTGGCTCAAGTTCTTAATTCTACCTTGCAATTCTCCCTTTTATAGAAGCTGCTGGCCACTAAAAAATGTTAGAAAAGCCTAAGAAGGATCTGAACATGCAATTCCTGCCATATGCATTAACTCAATAAAATAAAATAAAGAGCAAGCCATAGTTTCTTGTTATGAACATAAACACACAGGTATAAGCAGAAACAGGAGAACTTACAGAAACCCTTCCTGGGAGGAATTAATGTTGTCAGACTACACAAATCCATCTGTATCTGAACAGCTTACTTGGGCTTCAGGGCTATACAAATTGCAGATTTCCTCCTTTCTACTACCTGCTTGTGGATAATGAAAGGAAGTACCAGCTGTCTGCTTACAGTAAGAATGCGTATGTGGGCAGAATACTTCTTAAGACTTCCAATTCTTAAATCCTGGCACAGGGAAGAACCTTTCAAGAGCAAGAAGCACCCACAGATGTGAATTCCTGGATACCATATTCCCCATAAAAGGCAAGCTGCAGGTATAAATCCAGAGGAAGAATGTAAAAATAGAAAATAAGTTTCTCAATATCTGAGGCCATCTCATAGTCATTAAGGAAGTGTCTTATTTGAGTAAAACCTAAACTTTAGCAATGAAGAGAATAAAATAATTAAGTAATTGGGAGACAGTAAAAAGACATATGGGCAGAGCACAGTAAAAAGGTGCAAGAAAACAAATCCAAATGGACTCTCAAATTGAGAGGGAAGAAAATCAACTTGAAGTGTCTCCTGACAGAGATGGGACTTATTTGATTTTTATTTATTTTATAGTTGTCATTCCTCCTGGCAAAAATCTTGGGATGCTGACAGCGATCTGTAAGCCTCTATCCCATCCCAAGTACAACTCTCCACCTTTATACCTAGAAAAATATGAAGGACCATAACACCTGAGAAAACTGGTAGAAACCAGTAATGTTCCTATGCAACAGTTTGAGTGTTCAGGGTTAGAGAACTTTGAATATGATTTTATCTACCCATAAATATATGTATGTATACCTGCTAAGATGGATATCATTAAATATTCATTCCATCTGTATAACTACTTTTATCTAGACATATTTAGTAGTAGAGTCTGTAAGCTTAGTAGATTTCCCATAAGCTGTAAGAGAACTGCCTTACATCCCAAACCTTTGTCTATTTGCTTGTGAAATAATTAGCTTTAAAGAACCACTTGTGGGTTGACCTTGGCTGATGTTCACCCTGCTCTCTCACTCCACCTCAACAGGGATACAAGGGAGACAATGGTAAGATGAAAGAGTAAAGAATCAGTGGGTTGAGATGAAAACAGGGAGCTATTGTAGTAATTATGAGCACTAGCAAAACAGACTCGAACTTGGGGAAAACTAACTTACTGCCAATTAAAACAGGTTTGGGTAGTGAGAAACAAAGACAAAGTTAAACAAACACCCTCCCTCCACACCAGCCCCCTACCCTCCCTCATGCCCACTCTGCCAAGGCTCAGCTTTACTTGTCTAGTTTCTTACTCCTCTAGCCCTTCCCCAGCACCCAGCAGCAGCCCTGGGGATGGGGAACAGAATGTGCAATCACATCACTCCCTAACAGCTGATGGCCCTGCTGCTCCTTCCTCCTCATCCTTTTCCTCTGCTCCAGCATGGTTCTTCCCATGGGCTGTTCCCACAGGCTCCAGTGTGGGCTGGAGCTCTTTCAGGAAACACCAAGGGAGCTCTGGTGTGGCACACAGGCAGACGCCTGGGAATCTGTTAGAAAAGAATGTAAATAAGAGGTTTTATCTCCTTATTGTTCACATTGTTTACAGTTAAGTTCTATCACTGTGCATCAAGCACTCTGCACCAACGGTGTGGGTGTGGTTGTTTTCACTTCAGGATCAATGGGTTTGGCCTGGATGAAGCTCTGTATAAAGAGCAATGCATTTTGAAATAAATCAGTTTTACTCTCCGCAGCCTTCTGAGCAGAGTCTCTTCATTCCCGTCCTGCCTCAACAGTGTCACTGCTACACTGTAGTCTCCTCCAGTGGCCTGGAGAAACACATCCACTTCCTCCTTTTCCTTCAACCTTTGTGCTCCCTGTGCTGTGTCTCACTATCTTTGTTTCTCTTCTACCTGTGTGTTTAGGGTTTTTAAATTCCTTTGCTTAAATATGTTTTCCCAGAGACACCACTGTCCTGGCCGAGGGGCTCAGCTTCATCCTGTAGTAAATCCATGGAGCTGACTTGATCTGTGTCCAGCATGGCGCAGCCCGGGCCTTTCTTCACAGAGGCTGCCCCTAAGGCACCTCACCACAACACCTACCCAACAACAAAATTTCTCTCTGTCAGAAGACATTCAGTGGCTATAAATGATCCTAAGTACTTACTTTACTTTCCAGTGTCTTCCTTAAACTCCACTAACTCCTCTTTCACTTTCCTTCACTCAAGACTCAGAAATCACAACCATGTGTGGATCTCATCCTTGGTATCTCACAGCTGACAGGAGGCAGCCTCATTCCAAGCAAAGGCCATGTGGATCAGCATGTTAGCACCACCAGAGATAGGCAGTAAGGCACCGTTCTCTACTCACCAGCTTCTACCATCACAGACCAAGAAAATCTCAGTGCTCAAGATCGCTGTAGCTGTGACTTTTATAGCATCAGAATCAATGTGTTTTTCCCCAAAATTGTAGCCCTGTTTTACACGAGAGGACAAATAATTTTTCGGTTATTTTAAATATTATTAATTCAAGATTATCTTTGACATTTTTAAGTTTCTGTATCGAGAAAGGCAAAAAAGGAGTATGTAACAGCTTTTTAAACTTAATGGCTACTTTGAAGAAAGCATTCACTACAGAAACTAAATTACAAGTTTTTTTTCAAAATCACACCATATTATTCAATTGAACTAATGCCTCTCAGAAAGAGTCAGAAGTGACAGGAATGCAAATACACATGCAAGAGACAATATGTTTGTTTTTGGGTCTACTCTAAGCATTGATTAGCTTGTTCATAAAGTAAACATTCCAAAAGAGCAATAGGTGAAAAGACAACACTTGCCAATATGCCAAGTTTGTGTGAATAATTAGAGTATATAGAGACTCATATTCTCAGTTTCAGATGACCAACATGGGATACAAAGAACCTTATGCTTCAGAAATTAGTATGAACTAACTTTTGTAAAAGTATTTAGGGTTAAGTAGTGAAATAAACTATCAAATGCAAGGCCTTTTATCACTTCTGAAATTCTGACTTAATGTAACATTGAAATGCAGAAGACCAGCAATGAAATTTGAAGATAAAATGCAAATTTCAAGACCAAATGTTGAAGAAAAACCCCACTTAGATTTCAGCTCAGTCAGAAGTTCATCCAGGCTGCAAAAAAACATTTAGGGAAGAAATACATGGGGAGGGGGCAGGAGAGAGAAGGCAAAGATTTTTTTTTCTACTCCTATCCAATTAATGCCCACATTTTCTAACCTGCCCATTTACAACTGGATTAAAAGCTTCACTGAATACGTACTCCACAGGCATCCTTTAGGTCAAATTTTAACTTTTAGTGCAATACATTTGTAATTTGCTATCTCAACTACCAGGAATCATCTTTTCTACCTTCCTCTTTAACAAAATCTTCCATTGCTACTACATACCTTATACCTACAGCCTCTTCATAATCCAGTAGAAACACTGCCAGTATTTCCAAACAAATACCACTGATATTTGCACAACAGATAATATTCCATATTTGTTTTCATCAGACTCCAATGAATTCAGAGCCAAAGCTAAAAATGGAAAGGCGATGTATCTTCAGTTCTGAAAAGCTTTTCAGCAGTCTGAATGAAATTACATTCTGATAAGACACAACTATATCATGCTCAGCCTC